GAAGCACGTAGCTCTTTTTGCTGGTTGGTTGTCAGGTTGGCCTTCTGTCAAAGTCTGGCCACTGAAACCTGTGCATCAACCGTTCATTCAAACTTGCTATTTCCATCCTCCTTGGCTTAGCCGCAAGTTTTCTTCAAGCACTTCTTGCACTTCCTTTGAGTCAGCGAGAGTTGTGACTGCAAAGCCACCTTGGCAGAGTTCCGGCTAAAGGGCCATCCGCATACCGAGGTCCAGGCTTCAATGGGTATGTCCCAACTGGCGCCTTCCACCTCGTGCCACACTCTCTCGCGTGAGTTGTAGGGCGTTGAAGACACCCACAACCTCTTTGGTAGTTCAGTCACTACCAGCTCTTTGCCCGGGCATTTGTTGAACACTTCCTTCGGCATGTCCACGACTGCTCCAGCCATTGGTTCCACGACAACCTCTTGCTCCTTGTCGCTCTTCCTCGATGGTTTGCTAGTGCAGATGCTCTTGTTCGCTGGTTCTGACTGTAGAGCACCCTCAGCGTAGGACAGCACCACCGAAGACTTCCATCTCCCCAAGAAAGCTAGCTAGTTCCTGGATTGGCATTCCCAACCTCACGTAGTTCATGGCTCCTGACCTTCGTGCAGAATGACCTTGTATTCCATCTCTGGTCACCATCGCCCATCCTTCAACCATCTTGGCTTTGGATAGCTTCTGATTCTGGGAGTCCTGGAAGATGTACTCTTGTGGGTCTCTCTCTCTGCCTTTATACGCCTTCCATATCTCCAGCCATAGCTTCCAGCAGCACCATCCCTGGCAGGTTTTGTGCATGCAACATTGTAAGGTTCTTCTCACCCCAAGGCCTTGCTGGTCGCACTTCGACATGGGGATGAAGACGCTGACTCTCTTGCAAGCCTCATTGATCGTCACATCCTTCCACTTCATGCTGCCCACTTCGATCTCTCTTAGCATCCATACCACTGCCCATGCATACGCCAGCGCTGGCCTTGCTGTTCTTTTGGGGGCGTGGCAGCATAGCATCCATTTCAATGGGTCAATGTCCTTCAGCTCAAACTCTGGTGCTCTCTTCACAGGACCGCTATTCCTTCTCAATGATCTCTTGCAGTCCGTGATGAGCTTGTTCATCTGCAGGTTCACCTCATGTCCTGCTTCCACGTGCATCAGTTTGAGCTCATTTAAGTATTGGTCGCCCGAAGTCCATCCAGCTGCTTTGATGGCTGCTGCAACCTCCTCAATGGTGTTCAAGGCGAGTGGGAAGATCTGTCCACGTGTTCCCACACTCACTCTCGCCATGGCCATGATTTGCTCTCTCTTGGATTTCTGTGCTGCCTTGGAGGTTTTGGCCAAGAAATCACCTCTGAGGGCCTCTTTTGGCCTGCTTCAGCTTTTCCTTGCCCTGCAAGATGTCCATGACGGCCTCGAATGAACCCCGTTTTGGTCCTGACAGTTGCACCTCGTCAGTCTCCAGGAGCTCATCTATCCTTCGCTTACCCTCTTCCTTCTGGGTCGGAAGAACCTGTCTTCGCATCATCCGTCCCTGAATTAAATTCGACATGCACTTCAGGGGGTCCCCGGCATTGTATCCAAGCACCCCCATCGTCCTCGTAGTGGCTAATGGAGGCGAGAGCCACGTCGCAGCGTTGCACCCGGTCCCACTCCACCAAGGCGGTGCATATCTTGTAGGTCCTGCACCACTGGGTAAGCCCTTTGTACCATTGCCGCTAACAAATGGCCTTGAGCAGGTCTGGCTTCTGGTGACTCCATCAGCGCCTTTGCGGACGGTTGTTTCTCTGGGGTTTTGATCACCCATCGTTGGTCTCGACGATCTCCTGATGGTGATGTCTCTCGACGTGTTTCCCCCTTTTCTGCCTTTGCCTTTTCCCACGTTGAATGCTCGAAGACTTGCTCGAAGACTGACTCCGCCTCTTCTGTCCTTCCTGGCTTCCGCGGAGATGTCCTTCTGCTTGTGCAACACCAACGGCCCAGCGTCCAAAGCCACCGCAGTGCAGACCACAGAAAGGAGATCCACCCTGCTACAGGCAGGAGGCTGGTCCTCCTGAATCGTCACTAGTTGCAGAGTGTTCTCCATTGAGCCCGGGCTGCCCGCGGCTGGGTCCGATGTGTCCTGTCCGGTCCACCTCAGTTCGGTCCCTCAGGTGAAACAGTGAAATGACGTGGTTCGATCCGCTCCGACTCGAACGAACGATCGGCTCGATCAACCCCACGATGCTCCCTCCCCCCCGCCGGTAGCCCCCCTCAAGCCGAGAATGGTGAACACTTTTCACACCATCCTTTCAAAGCAGCTCGAAGGCTCCCGACACCTGACTCGCAGACGAGCCCCACAGTGCCGGCGCTACTCCCGGCGGGTACGCCTTGTGCGTCATGTTCCTTGGGAACGTCTTGATGGGCACCTTCTCCAGCCTCTCCGGCTTCGTTGAGCTCCTTTCGTGGGGTCGAGACAGCCGGTCTGCCTCCACTTGATCCCGTGCTTGTCACACCGAATGGCCAACTCCGCACCAACCCAGTTGATCACCGGCGAGGGTGATGAAAGTCGCTTGGCCATGGCCAATGCTACCACGCTGTCGCTTCTCAGCACCACGCTCTTGTCCTTCAGCTTGGTGCCCCATCTCTTGAAAGCCAACTTCACAGCCCAAGCTTCGAGAGGTCCCTGGGAGGATGATTCTTTAAATTCCATTCCACTCCCAACCATTTGGCGTCCTCTTCCAGCACCGGAATCTCCAAAGCTTCCAGGATCGTGAAGTTCTGCCCCACGTTATGATCAATGGTGGCCAGGATCGCTCCGATGCCCTGTGGTGAAGCGTCTGTCACAATGGCATAGTCCGGCAATGGCTCCTCCATTGGCTCCGAGCGCAGTGCCAACACATCCGGGTCCTTGAACAAGGTGATGACCCAGCGCCGGGGGAGCTCGAGGCGTTTGACCGAGATGAGTCCAACCTTCGGTCTTGTGTCCGCTCGGTGTGCAGCTCGCTTGCGTTCCTCATCTTCGGACCGCTTGGTGTCAGCTAGCACTGCATACATAATGCTAACTGCCCAACGTGCACGTGGGAGCACCCCCGCTATCCATGATAGGCGGCCCGTCACTTGCTGCACTTCCTTCATGCTGACCATCCCTTTGTTCTCCCAAGTCTCCAGGACCTTCTGTATCTCTGCCATCATCTTGCGCGGCACTGTCAGCTTGATCAGGGCTTCCGCTTGCACCACCTCAAACATCACCCTGATCCATGTCAGCTGACTTCCTTTGGCTCCCTTGTGCCACGCCAGGTTGATTCCCAGCGCTCTGGCTGTGTACAGCAAAAGCGCCAGGTTGCGGCATCTCCTAGATGAGGGCCCCCGCAAGATCCACATAGGGTCGTCCATATACAGTTGACTCTGCATTTCCGATGGAGCTGTCAACGACTGCCAAATGCGGGCCAAGCACGCAGCAAACCTGCCCATGAGGAGAGGAGCACCTTTGAAGCCAAATAACATCGCGACCCACATGAGGGTTTCCGATGGGTGGATGCCTGGACTCAAGCAGTTCGCGTGCTCTTCAGGATGAACTGGCAGGTGGCAGTACGCGTCGCTCAAGTCCGCAGTCACCATTTCGAAGTC